TAAGGCGCAATTCCCACCAACCTCCGACTGGAAGCATGTTGGAGGAAAAACACAAAGGCTAGAAAAACAATATTAGAATTGTTTGTTGGAAATTTGATGTAAAAAGACAAAGAAAGAAAATTTGACTTGTATTCTCTCAAAATCGATTACAATTTGGATTCCGATTACAAAAGAGAAGAGAATGGATTTGATTTCTCTCTTTGTTTAAGACTGGGTTCTTCTTGGGTAGCGATGGAGTGCTTCCTTCGATTTGATCGCGTCGAACTTGCTCTCCGTTGACGATCCGACCGTCCTTCTTCACTGGAATAACTGAAGTGTTTGATGACTTCGTTTAGAACTCTTGACGAGTGTTGAAGAACTCTGAACGAGTTAAAAAACTCTGATAAGAGTTGTTGAAAACCGAATGTCTGGTTTGATGTGATTAACTTGCGTTACAAGCTAATTAAAAACTCTTAACGAGTTTAAGAACTCAGAATGAGTTTAAAACTCTAAAACAGAGTTGTTGGAACCGAAATTCGGTAATTGCCAAGTGGATGATACCTTTGATGAAAGGATCCTTCGGGATTTGATTAACTGATCGTTGATCAGTTCCCTTGATCCCCCGAAGATCTCTTCCTTCCGATTACTCAACTGCGAAGATATTGTTGACCTTGGGTGGTTTTGATAACCAGCTCCCCTCAACTACTCTTTGCGCGTTTTTATCTCAAAAACCGATTGATCAACCTCTCACCGCCAACCCCTTACTCAGATTGAGTAAGTTGGTTATTTATGGCAGATGTGAGTAATCGGAAGGAAGAGATCTTTGCGGGATCGCAACGGAACTGGATCAACGATTCATTTAATCAAATCCCGAAGGCATCCTTTCATCAAGGTATCATCCACTTGGCAATTACCGAATTTCGCGTTTCCAACAACTCTGTTTAGAGTTTTAACTGCATTCTGAGTTCTTAAACTGCGTTTAAGAGATTTTTTAATTAGCTTGTAACGCAGTAACACATCAATACCAGACATTGCGGTTTCAACAACTCTTATCCAAGAGCTTTGTTACTCGTTCAGAGTTCTTCAACACTCGTCAGAGTTCTAAACCGACAGTCATCAAACATTCAGTTATTCCAGTGAAGAAGGACGGTCGATCTGGTCAACGGAGGAGCAAGTTCGACTGCGATCCAATCGAAGGAAGACCCACTCATCGCTACCAAGAAGAACCCAAGCTTAAACAAAGGAGACGAATTCAAATCCATTCTCTTTCTCTTTTGTAATCGGAAAATCCAAATTGTAATCGATTTCATTGACCGATTTTGAGAGAATACAAGTCAAATTTTCTTTCTTTGTCTTTTTACATCAAATTTCCAACAAACAATTTCTAATATTGTTTTTCTAGCCTTTGTGTTTTTCCTCCAACATGCTTCCAGGTCGGAGGTTGGTGGGAATTGCGCCTTAACGACGATATCTTGGAAGTTGGTGAAAATTTTGGAAATGAAGCCCTTTCACTCAAGTCAAAGTCTCACTATCGTGCTTCATCCCGCAACCAAGATTGAGCATCATAAAGATCATTAGCTTTGTATAGTGTTTTAAGTTTAGTCGTGTACTTTATGTGTTTATACTTTAAGCTCAAATCATACACGTACACGTTTTCTTGATTTATCGTATCATACATCCATTTGAGAATATATTGTGTTTTTAGACTATAGATATAATGATATCATTTTACATTTTTTCAAAAAGTCTATTAATCTATCTCAAAACTTGTTTGAAATTAGTTCATCAAAATCGAGCATTTAACGACTTCGTATTTTTGACGATTTTGCAAAATATTGAGTTTTCACAAATGAAAAATGATATTTTAGAAATTTCTTTTCTAACATGTTTATTTATATATATATATAAACATTTCCCTAAGTTTTACTATTTATGGAGTTAAATTTGCTATTTTAAAGTGATTTTAGAAAATCAAGTTTTCAGCAGTTTAAGTATCTAAAAAATCAGCTATCGGTCGACCGACCAGTACAATTTTTTCATCATCTGATTTTTCAGTCTTATCAGTCGACCAAATATAAGCGATCAGTCGACCGATCACCTCTTTTCAGTCGACCGATCTTGTTCCACCAGTCGACTGATTATGTGTTGTTTTCCAGCTCAGCCAACGGCTAGTTTATCAGTCGACTGATGACCTTTACCAGTCGACTGATCAGTGTTTTTTTTTGCATAATGGCTAGTTTTGGTTGCTTTCTTTGAGAGGCTATAAATAGCCCTCAAGACTTGGTTTTTATATAAGAGTTTTCACAAGAGTTTCAAGAGTGTTTTTCATCAGTTTGTTTCTAAGTTTTGGTGTGTTTGTTTATGTGAAGAAAGTTTCACAAAGAGAAGATCTTAATTTCGGTTTTGAGACGTTCAACCTCAAATCTTCATCTACATCTCTTTGTTTTCTTTGGAGAAGTTTTCTAAACTTATTGTCTAGCTTAATTTTCATTTTGATTTATATATATATATACAAGCTAGATTTACTTGAGTTTAATTTTTGTTGTTGTTACACACACAACCATTTGAGTTTTAGTATTTCACATATTGTATATTTAGGTTGTGAGGTTTGTTACATTGAGAGAGCTTACAATTCGTTCTCACTTATTTAGAGAACAAAATCATTTATTTGTACTTATTGTGAAAACATGTTGTAATACACAAGAACACTTAGAGGAGTGGTCGGCGAGAGACCGGAGTTAATTCTAAGAGGAGTGGGTTGGTAGTAAAGTCTAGGAAGAAGTGGTAAATCCAAACACTTGAGGAAGGTAACACGGGTAGTCCAACACTTAGAGGAGTGCGTTTTGTGGGATTGGTAATCGTGTGAATTGTAAAAGTTTTCGACGAGCTTTGAAAACCGATTGTGTAGTTATTTTGTGATAGTTGAGATCTCCTCGAGGTGAGGAGTGGAGACGCAGGTCGAGTGTTAGACCGAATTTTGTGATCATATCGTTTGTTTGTGTTTGGCTTTGGCGTAATTTTTTTGTGCATATTTGTATATCGCCTATTGTCTCATATTTTATCACCCATTATTTCATTAAATATCCTTGTTTGATTCTTGTGTATATCATCATTGCTAGGATAATTTATTATTAGTTTTAATTTGGCATTGATATCAAATTAGATTAGCAATTACCCTATTCACCCCCCTCTAAGGTACTTTCACATGTTAGGTCTAATAATAGTTCATATTAGGTCGAATAACAATTCATGTTTAAGTCTAATTTTAGTTCATGTTATGTCTAATAATAGTTCATGTTAGGTCTAATTTCATGTTAAGTCTAATAATAGTTCATGTTAGGTCTAATAATAGTTCATGTTAGGTCTAATTTTCAGTTTATGTTAAGTCTAATAACAGTTCATGTTAGGTCTAATTTCATGTTAAGTCCAATTTGATTCGTGTTAAGTCTAAATTCTGTTCATGTTAAGTCAAATAACAGTTCATGTTAGGTGTAATTTACTTTATGTTAAATTCCTTTTAAGTCTAATTTAGTTCATGTTAAGTCTAATTTGAAATTAGACCTAACATGAACTATTATTAGACCTAACATGATTTATTATTTGACATAACATGAACTAAAATTAGACATAACATGAACTGAAATTAGACTTAACATAAACTATTATTAGACATAACATGAATTGAAATTAGACTTAACATGAACTAAAGTTAGACCTAATATGAACTATTATTAGACCTAACATGAAATTAGACCTAACATGAACTCTAAATAGACCTATCATGAAAGAATAGAGTAGATAAGAATATTTTGGGGTTTTGTACTTTTTATCCTCTCTCTATGCTTAGTTGGCGCATAATAATTGCTAAAAGAGGGTTGCAACACATGATGAGACATTTCTTGGAGCTGAACCACATTAATAAAAAGTGAAGGGGCTGCAACACATGAATATATTGCTTTTGGGACTTTAACATAATTTTCCCTATAATTTTAATATGTTTTTAGATTTGTTTGTTTGACAGATTAAAAAAAAAAGGTTAAGCCTTGTGAAAAACAGTATTATACAAGATTATAAACTTAGGCTCTCTTTGGCAACCTAGGAACAATGTTATCTAATATGAAATATAGTATTATCCACTTTTGGCCGAACTTTTACCAAATATAAATAGCCACTAATAAAACTGAACTAGTTTTCAGTGGTTTGAGTGGTTTGCCAAAGAGGCTCTTGGACTTTTTTTATCCCATCCACACTAGTGGCAACCCATGCTCTAATAAAAAAAAAGGAGACACGGATATTAAAAACTTAGATTATTTTCCATGCAATTATTTTCATTTTACTTCTTAAAAAAACTGTACAGGTGTTATACACTTAAATACACATGTAGCTGTTTTTTTTTTCCTTTTCGAAAGGCTTAGCTATATACCCACATGTTAAACAAAAGATCTAAAATATATCTAAATTATACTTAGCTATATACCCACTTGTTAAATAAAGATCTAAATATATCTAAAATTAAATATAAATATGAATTTAGGTGCAGTATCGTACGACATGATAAGTACCGAATAGAAATTACGTCGATCTACTTAGAATAGTAACGATGAGTATTTAAAATGGGGAAAAAAAATTAACGAATTATCTAAATTCTAATTATCCCATAACGTGCAAAACCGTTTTCATTCAGAAAAACGGCATCCAGACTTGTGGGTTGGATCAAGCCCAACCCGGCCCAATGAACGGTCATCCTTCCATCCAGCGGACGGAAAACAAAACCGTGCCCTTTAATCCCTCATCTAACCGTTAAATTCCAATCGTACGGTCTTGATTCTTAAAGTCCGAATCAAGAAATAAATTGCTTCGAATTAATTGAACGCGCACAATTATTAAAGTCCAGCAAGAATCCCGCTGTCAACTTGCATCTAGTTGCTGAGCACGTGCACGTGCCCGTAATCATCAACTAATCTTTCGTTAATTATCTCTTCACTGACTCTAATTACGATTACTTTCAGAGAGAATCTCAGATCCCACGCGACTCATAAAATATTAAATTAATCCCTACCTTCGTCTTCTCCGTCTCGTCAAAACCCTAGCTTGATGCCATCACCGACTCCCAAATCCCCAATCGCTGATCGAAGATAGCGATTGAAGAACTGAACTCGATCCCTCGCTCATAAGCTAGCGAGATGAAGAAATCTAAAGCGGCGAAAGCTAATCATCAGCAGCAGAACGGCCACGATCTCCCCTTCAAGTTCGCGAAATTGCTTGATCCGGATGTTCTGTGGGAGAAGGTACTGAATTTACGAAAAAGCTAGGGTTTTTATGCCGATTAGGGTTTAATTAATGCAATTTTTTTTTGAGGTTTTAGGATCAATTGTGCGATGTCTTGCACTGGATCCGGCAAGCGTTGGGCCTCGTGTTCGGATTGATGTATGGTGCGGTTCCTGTAGTTGGCGCCATCTGGATTGTTCTGTAAGTATTTCTACTCTTATTAGAACCTTTCGAGTTCATTGATAGCATGAATAATTTTGGGAGTAAGTGAATATTCGTTGTTCATGATGTGCTATGATCTGAACTCAAATCAGTATAGATTTTAAGAATCCATCGAGCATCTACACGAAAAGATCTATTGACATAAAGAATTTACTGTGTGAGCTATAAAAAAAAATCCCAGGCACTAACTAATAAAGGCTGATACTCTGATACTGCTCAGTTGGATAAATTTATAGTAAAGAAGCTTACTTTCTTGGGTAAGTTGATAAACTGAATAAAATTTGGGTATATTTGACAGGCTATTTTATCGTATTTTTTCAACTTAGCAGTTCTATGATTGATATTGCTTGTGTTGTAATTTTCTCCTTGCGGTGATTTTCCTCGTATAGTTAAATGACTACTATTCATATATGCTTGTTGTACCTCATCCGAGGTGGATAAATACCGAATTAGATGGTCTACTGCTACAACCTATTGTAGTTGTTATCTTGGTCCTTAACTAATTTTTGTCAAATGAAACCATCTAATTAGTTGTTGCTTTCAGCAACCTTTTTCGCTCTCTTACCCTCTTACTTTAATTCAAAGTTTAAACATATTTTGAAGTTTGTTATCTTCTGTTTTGTTCTAACTTTCTTGCTTGATACCCATGTGATTGGTTAAGCTGCATATGGTTAGTTAGTGAAACAGGTTAATTTTAGTCTCCTCTAAAGCCGTATACCTCTTATTGGTATTGTTTGTCAGAGATTTTAATCTAGCGTTGCTTTCAGTTTAGTACTACAGCATCTCAATATTAGTTGTTAAAGAAATCTCATTAGTTATGTTATATTCTTCCATTTTGTAAGTATCATAAATGAGGTGGATTGCATATCCTGAGGAGAATCTGATAAGTTAAGCATGCATTGATCATTTTGATCGCTTAATTCTTGGCTTGATCATACTTTTCAAGTCCTTCCACTGTTTTTCAGCTCAGTTTATACTAATCTTTGGTATTTCAATTCTCAGTTCTCCTGCTATTTTTGCCTGATATCAACCTCTATTAGTTGTTATTAACAAATATTTTTGTAGTATTGGTCAATTTAAAATTGATCAGATTGACATACTTAATTTCTAATATGATATGGTCAGTGCATGAGTGTCAGCTGATACTTCAAAGTTCAAATATTATGAAAACATGGCTTTAAGAGAAACGAATTGGATCCTAAGATTTTAATGGGGGAAGGATTCATATATAACCAAGTAGAAGATTTGAATATAACTGATTTATTGTTCATGTATTTACTCATGAAGGCCCGCTCTGCTTATATGCTTACTAAAGCCGCATAGTATCCAGGGCACCTAGAAGTCTGCCCAAGCATAGGGAGTTGTCAACTGTCTACTTTTCTGGGATAACATTAATTTGTGACTTCTTGAGGATATGACTAGGAAGAACTTCAAAATTACTGTGGTGAAAAACAGGTTCATCTTAAACCTGAAGTTGCATGAGGCTATGAAAGAATGCAAGATAGGTATTATGAATTGTTGGCATTGAGATGTGTACAGCCTTTTATGGTATATTACTGGATTGATTTTCAAAATAGTCATTATCTTTAAAGATTTAGGTGCCTGAGGACTGGAAAGGGGAAGTTATATGGTTTACTTTTATCAAGAATAAAGTCAACTTGCAAACTTACGTTAACTATGATGGCATTTTGTTTATGAGATAAGCTAATGGAATTATGTGAATAGTGATAAGAATGTGTTATAATGACCATCTAGAATAGTCAGCATACAACGTAGGTTGTCTAGTGCCCTGCCTTTAATTGAGGAGGCATTGCATGCAAATACTTTGATGATTTTGAATTTAACTTTGCATTTGGCACTGCTTCCAATGGTCATTACAGACCATGCTCTGTCCATATCCGTGTGATGGGGAACAGTGTGAGGTCTTCGATCTGAACATGTTTTCAGATTGATCGCTGGATCAGTGTGAGAATTTTCATTGAGAACTTGATTGGCAGCAGCGAATCTGGACAGCGATGAATAAGGATGCAAGATTCAATGAGATGGGCGATGAAGACTAATGAAGGTACTGCTCACACCTGTGAACAGCAATGGTTTTACTGTTCCCGTGAACAGCAACTGTTTCGTAAACAGTGATGATTTCTCTGTTCACCCGTGAACAGAGACATGCATTTGGTTTTATTTAGTTATTTTTAATATGGGTATTTTGGCATGAGTTGAATGTTGGGGATTCTTTTGAGGAGAGATTTGATTGAAGGATATTGTAAATGGAGGGTTAGGATAAAAGAAGATCCTCATAGCCAAGGGCTTTACACCCCGGCACTTCACATGTCAAAACTTTAACACTTCACATGCTAACAAAGATTTCACATTTTAGGATTTTTTTTGTTAATTAATGTCTAATTCCTCATGGAGAGAAAAAGCTGAGCTGGAAACTAAATTAAATCAATCCTAATATAAAGGAAACAAAAAAAATATCTCTAACAAAATAATTCTCAGAGATCCTAACAATCCTAAATCAAATCCTAAAGAGATCCTACAAAAAAAATTTGGAGATTACATCAAATATTACTAAAATAGAAAAGATACCATTTAAGTTTATAAAATTTCTGATCAATGGCCAACAATCGTCCTACATCAGTTTGTGGCAACCAGAATAGAAAGGAAGAAGAGGATTAGGACATCTAGTCTCATTTTGAAATCTGAATTGGTGAGTTCTGTCATTTTTAAGATGGTTGAGAGAGATTTAGGATGGTTGAGCGATTTAGGAAGCAAAAGTATGTATATTCATACATATATGAATAGGACACATACATAGGTACACATTTTTATTGGCAATTGTGTATGCATAAATAACAACAACAAAGCTTTTATCCCAAATGTTTGGAGTCCGCTGCATGAATCCAAATTTTCCATTTCATTTTATTATGGGCCATCTCCTTTGTCAAATTAACCATTATCATATCCTTCTTAATTGCTCCGAACCAAGTTCTTTTAGGTCCACCTCTATATCTCTTTGTCCCATTAACTACAATATTATCAATTGTCCTAACCGATGCACTAAGAGGTCTATGTTTTATATGACCAAGCCACCTTAGTCTATTTTCTCCTCAATTGGAGTAACCAGTGATTTACTACGAATGCACTTATTTCTTATCCTATCTTTTAGTGTATACCCACAAGACCATCGTAACATTGTCATTTTTGTTTTGTTCATTTTTTTGCACATGTTATTTCTTAATTGCCCAACATTCCGATAGAATTTTTTCTTTAGTCTCATAGGTACATAAGACTCCCGAAAAGTTCCTCCATTTTAACTATCCTTATTTGATTGATGGACAACACCATCCTCAATCTCAGACGAATGATTGATCCTAAATAACGAAAGTGGGTGGTTACTTTTAGGTATTTCTTTGCCATCAATATGTACTATAGGCCCTTTTTTTAGTTTATGCATTCCATGTGTTTTATTTTTGTTCTACTAATTCTAAAACCTTTTAGTTGTATATGCATGAAGCTACAGAGCATATGCATCTCTATAAATATAAAGGGTTATAAGAAAGTTTGTTTTGTGTAATCCAAGGAAGAGCATTACCTCAACACTATATTTAAATCCCTCTTTTGAACTACAAAGTGGAAGAGAATTGTGCACCACTGACTTGTGCCATGATTCAAGAGTTTCAAGTTTCTGTGGTTCCATTTGGGGCCACCCTTCTGCATATGATATAGATATTGCCAATTATTAATGGGAGTGCTGATACCATATATTATTTTATTGTGCTAAAGTACTCGATCAGCACAAGATATGTGTTGAATTACTTTGTGCTCATTTATGTTCTGAACACCTTAGAAATTCAGGTCATTCATGTGCCTGGTGGTGTAAAGTTCATAAAAATTAAAAAATACATGCATGTATAATACAGCATGCTCACCTGCACTACTGACCCCTATCCAGAACTCTTTGACATTTTGTTGAGTTATAATATCTGGCTCAAGTCCTCCCCTCCTTTTGAATTGCATCCTTTCGCCTGGTTCCTTATCTTCAAGACAGATGCTGATTTAAGTTTCCTATGGAAGCTATACTTCTTGTTCTCTTTGTTAATGTGCTATCAAGTCACGCATGCAAGTTTTGCAAGCTTTACATCTATCATACATGAAGCAGGCTTTCTACACTGCTATTCTGAAAATTATCAAATTTATGGATGAGCAACATCATCCAACTCTCCCCTATAAGAATATGGTTACTTGTGGGAACAACTCCCGTTCCAAAAGGTTGTGTGGAAAGTTTTACCTTAATTGTTATTCTGGGTGTTTAACAAGTTAATTGAAATGTGAAAGTTGATAAGAAGACCTTTCTTTATGTAATTTAAAGTCACGGAACAGGGTCTCCAACACCAAGAAAGAGTCTAGACTTGGGAGGTGAACCATTAATTTGTGCTGCGAAATAGTCTTTAACCTAAAGCTTCGGTAGTTGTAATCTTCTGGTGATTCCTCGCTATAATTTATACTTCTTGTTGATAAATCTCTCTTAAATCTGATTATATATTATGCTATATGCAGGTTTTTGGTGTTATCTTCCGGGATAATCTATGGGTACTACGCATATGTGCTGAAGATCGATGAAGAAGAATTTGGAGGCCATGGAGCATTGATTCAAGAAGGGCTTTTTGCTTCTTTCAGCCTTTTTCTGGTAATCTAACTTCTGTATATCTGTAAATCTAATTTTTATATATCTGGAACCACACTTCTTTCATAAATGTATTCGCTTTCCTAATTCATCGCAAGCTTTTCTTTCTGAAGCCCAATCCAATCAACTGCTGCCCTCTGATGATATTTTTTCTTCTTCTATGCATTGCAGCTTGCCTGGATATTGGTATACAGCCTAGCACATTTCTAAAGAGGTTCCGTAGATTCTGAAGTGCCCCATCCTTTCCATTTTGTAACCCCATTGTATTCTGCGTCGAGAAAGGAGATGTATAATAATGAGGGGGGAACTTTTAGAGTGCATTACAAGATTGTGGAACTGTTGGGCTTAGTTTGAGCTCTCGCGTTAAGAGCTCGTTTTTATTATGAGAGAGGGTCTCCTGAGTTTTTGAGTCTCAACTCTAAACTGAATAGCATGCGCAAGTATAGCTTGATTGAATATTTATTCAGCACATTTGTTTAAAGTTATATGAAATTAATAAAGGCACACTTGAGGGGAGTCGTTGAAAAATTATCTGCAAGAGAGACCAGCCAAATGTACTGCAGCGGTGCCATAAAAATCGTCGGCACAAAATTTGGCACTAATTTTGCTGGATAAGGAAACAACTTTCACAATGACAATTGGTATTTCTCTATTTGAACTGAACAATAATAATTGGATGACGAGCAGATAGTAAATCAGGAGGGTAAAGGAGCGAATAGGTTACCAAGAACAAATCTCAGATATCACCAGATGCTCAATAATTACATGATGGAAGCTTGGAATGTTGAAACAAGATAATACAGTATCCTCAGGAAGCAAGTACTACTCGATGAAGCGTCCCGGTACAAAATGACTTGTACATATGTAAACCTTATGATTTTGCAGAATCACCATGTTCTTCATTAGCGCTTGAAGGTGGATACGACAGCTCTATGGATAAATCAAAGACTGCCGTAAATCAAAGACTCCACCTTTTCTTCTATCCTCTTTACAATAGCGGGAAAAAAAAATCAACTTCTAAATAAAAGATATCCTTGAAGCATGCGATGACAGAAGTAGAGACCCAAGTTTCCCTTGAAATCGTACAGTATGGCAAAACCGCCGAATACCAGTGTACAATATGTTAAAAAGACAATGATAGATTTAGAAAAACCCTATAATAGGAAGTGCAAACTTGTTGAGATTTTCTACTAGACACATTGGAATGTGTATAACTCAGTCATCCTTTATTCTCTTTAGCAGCCTGCTCGCCCATCGCCTTACTCGCCTTTTCAGTGTAAAACCAACAACCACGCCAACAACAAAGGTGAAAGCACACAACTTAGAGCAAGTCGATAGAGATACCATTCGCCTGCACAGATAATAAGCATCCGGAGAGAGTTAAATTACAGTAAAAGTAGTAACTTGAGAAAAGGTAGAATAGCTGTCTAAAGAAATATTGATTGTCAGTAAATGCTTTTGATTTTCCAGCGGAAAATGATGCAAAACTTCTTAGAAGAACGGGGAAGAAGCATTCCTTTATTGCTGAACAACTATGTTTTATGCTAGTTATCAGCTACCTAACAAAACCCTCCTTTATCCGAGCTTGGGATAGGTGGCGACGGATAAACCAAAGTACAACACTAGCAGAGTTATGTGAACCCTCAACATGGTGCAAGAAGTAAAGCTACAGCACAAGTTGTACATAGTTGAGAGTTGCATAGTTGCATGCACATAGAGCATAACACCTCGACAATGGACAAAGTTTTGACATTTGTTATTCCTATAGAAATGGAAGATAATACAAAGACAAGATTGATGAATCAACCAGCGGTTTCCTTCTTTTGTCATCAAATTTCAGACAATAATCTTTTACTTACCTTCATATCATCTCTTTCACATGTGACATGATAACGATGGAGGAGATGAGGAAAGAAAGGAGGGGTTTTGTTTGTGTGTGTGTGTGGTGGTGGTGGTGATGGTGGTGGTGGTGGTGGTGGTTTGGGGGCTCATATACAACCTGCACTGGTCATTGACATAACCTCTTGACTCGCAATCACATTTAGTGAACTAAACCATTGCTTTTAGCAACCAAAACAATGACAACCATGTCAAATAATTGAAATTCCTTTTGACAATTTAGAACATTTATTATAAAAAGGAATCTCCTGTTGCCATAAATTTATCTATAATGTTGGAGATCACGTAAAAAAGGTAATCTAGAACGTTCATCTCAACCCATCATAACAATGAACTAGAAAGCAAGCATGAAAAGGAGGGAACCATGTAACATCATCGCCAGTTGATACGAGTCGCTGTGCGAGCATCTTTGATCGCGAAATTATCAAAAGTGGGTTGAGAAGAAGACAATAGAAGACACAAGACAATTTAGTTTTGACGAAGGAAAATACCTTCTCTAGATTATGAGTATCAATTGTTTTACAAATCTCTCTCACAATCTCTCTAGAATAGAGAACAATCCTCTCTAATCTCAAATCTCCCCAAATTCTGGTTAGGGAATCCCTAAATAATAGGGTTTTAATTTATACAAACCCTAGAAATCAAATCCCAGCAGGAACATGGAAAAACAGCCCAACCCGTTATAAGTCGACTTACGGGTTCCGTAAGTCGACTTATAAACAGTCGAAAACGTGCACAAACGTGCACAACCCCCTTAAGTAGACTTATGCTTTCATCAGTTGACTCAACAGAAACTTTTGGATAACTGGAGTGGGTTTCGTAAGTCGACTCATGCAAACCTTAAGTCGACTTATGCAAACCTTAAGTCGACTTATGAACTAAAAACTGCATGCTTCGATTTCGCGCTCCGCCGTTTCGCTTCAACCTACGCTTCTATTCTCAAGCTACCATGATAATCGTCTATCCTCAAGCTCCCATGATAATCGCTAAGCTCCCGAAGCAGAGAAGAAGATACACCCATATCACCAGTAGTAAGTGAAACCAAATTGGAGTTTAGTTGGAATTCATTAAGGCTTGTTCAATTCAACGTTTAGGGGGGGGGGGGGGATACACATGGAACTTTAATCTCAATCTTTTAGTTGTCCGTTCAAGAACCACCCATCGATATACAATTCTCAAGAAAGAAAATATATAAATCAGAAAAATACACATGAATTTTCTCCCTAATAGGCGCTCTCTAAGCAAATTCTCATACACCCCTTGAACGATAGCCCGATTCACTTGGAAATACTGGTAAAAGAAAATGAAAGATTATAAATTCTGATTATTTAGATGACCAATGTATAACTAGATATTCAAATTCCTATACAAGTTATCACAGAAGATTAACGTGGGTATGAACAAAGGTCAAAGATTCATTGCCCTAAATTAGGGTTTACTTAGTATTTCCTTGAGCTTCTCTAAACTTCAACAACTTAAAGCTTAAATGCGAAAAAATAAAAGAAAAAGGATTCATTGTTAGTTGCACTCAAGAAATTCGCAAAAAAGGAAAACCTAAATAAACTCTGTTTAAAATCAAAGACGGAGAAAATATCGAAGTACCCAGGATTCGCGCGAACAAAAACCCGAGTTTGATCGCCTGGAAACAAAGAATCATTCGTTGTGGTCGATTCTTGCGGCGGAGATCGAACGCCGAGCTTGAATTTCTCCATTGGAAGCAAGGCAATGGAGATCGTCGATTGAAAATAGAAGAAAGGGTTAGGGTTTTAGGGGTCCCTGTAAATTTGGGGACGCGTGTCCAACTATTAGGCACAGGCTTTTGTATGGTTCCCTGTTTGGTGTTTACTTGTTATTTCACCAGGGAAAAATGATCCGCTGATGTGTCCTCGTCGGATTAGTTGGAATTGAAGATTCTACAATAATAAAAAATTGTTGATTGCGTGAGAATATTAAATGATGTTTTAGCCACGAGCTTTGCTATACGGATCCAAAATATAGCACCAATAAAATGGACAATTGAGATATCCCTCTCCTATTGGATGATGGCCAACTCATTATCCAATAGGAGTGAGATACCTCACTTGTCTTTCCTATTGGCCCTATATTTTGGGTCGTTGAGGAATTTTTCAATCCAAATATAGGTCGGGTTTAGAAACAATCAATGCAGAGTTTCCCTATGCACATGCATCTATGTTTCCTCCTCCATTGCATATAACTCCTCCTCCTCGCTGATGGAAGTATTATCTCATTTGTTCTTCTATTATCTCTGTGGTGATGGACTAGTGATGGTAGGCCTCTCCTCCTCTTCATCTTGGAAAATTTGAAGGCTTCTTTAATTTTCCATCGTATAATTAATATCGACATTATATTCAAATTACTATTTTTCTAGCAAGTGGATATGTAAGCGGGGCATGAATGAAAACTCCCTCACAAATCTTATGTCCTAATAACACATAATGCATCATCTAAACATTATCTCCTTTCTGTATATTCACATGAAGGTTTCGCATCAAAAGATATCCAAGATACATGCATAGAAATATTATCTCCTTAATTATGAAGCTCTAGCGGATTTTGCTGATCACTGTTTTATTAGTCAACCTACGTCGGAAACCCCTTGTAACTTAATTATGATCTATGCTCTCTTCAATAGCCACAAATTCAATTTCCCAGAGATACACAACTCTGACGATATACGCATAGAAATATTCTTGAAGGAGTGCTGCTACTGGGACTCAAAATATGAGACCAATGGAGGGGACATGTGAGGTGTCTCCTCCCTATTACATAATGAGTTGGCATGAGTTGGCATGGCCAACTCATTATGCAATAGGGAGGGGACACTTCACCTGTCCCCTCCCTTGATCCCATATTTTGGGTCCTTAAATTATTTTCCTTCTTGAAGTGATAAAAGAATAGACATTTACTGAAGGTTCCCTTTAAATCATACACGAAGGCAAAACCACTAAATGCTAGGATACCATGTGAAAAAAAAAACCCGTTTCAGCAAATAATTATTTCTAATCTTTACACTTTTCTCAGCAAAGCACCTCAATTTTGTTACTTTAAAATATGAAATGACCTAAATACCCGTTTCAGTCAATAAAATCTTCCAACCAGTAAAATGATACCTGAGCTATTAATTAAAAGTATTCAAATTATTTTAGCATAATCATTATCTTAATTGTTCAGTTTGAAAAAATAACAGACAATAGCCAGCAAAATCTCCCAACCACAAGATGAGTCTCCTGGTTAGCTCCCCATGGGGAGAGAGATCTCCCAGGCTTCGTGCCCGTTGGTCAGGAGATCGAATCCTTGTTGCCACATTCACCTGGTCCCTCTGGCTTTAGGGGGTGGGGGGACCCGGGGTTTACTTGGTCAGTAGCGGCTCGACCCGCTGTCTCTGGTTCGCGTCTCGCCCGGTCCACACACCGCTCGCCCATGTACTGGGGATGAGCCCCCTGGTACTTAAGGGGTAGCTCCTTGCCAGAGCCGGCCCTAAGCTAGGGCCATTAGGGCTATAGCCCGGGGCCCACAGCTGAGGGGGGCACTAGGGGTGAGCAAACTACGGGTGAACTAACATCCATCTGTATTTCACTGGCCCCACAAATGTACCCATGATAGTGATTACAGCTCATAGCAAGTTGCCTCTTCTTCACCCCTAGGCCCTAGGTCGGCTCTGCAGCAGGAGAGCTTTCAACTCATAGGCTCATAGCAAGCACTAAGCAGCTCCTTAATGTCCTCCCTCACACTCTTCAACTGGCTCACATCCGATGCTGCACATGTGGCGTACATCGCGCCGTTCAGTGAGCTCGAACTCCGCCCTCGTACCTCCAATCTCTGCGGCTCTGCCAAAACAACGAAATCAGTTCACCAGTTCACCTTTTCAACCTCAAATCTCCGGAGAGAGTAATTTCCCATCAACCCACCGCCTCTTCTTCACCAGTTCACCTCATCAACCCTTACCCACCGCCTCTTCTTCACCAGTTCACCAGTTCACCATTTGGGTATTTCTCAAAATTCTCTGAAATTCTTTATTTTTAGATTAATAGATTGAATTGGGGAAACTGCTTGAAGTTTTTGGAATCCTTATTTATTACCTATGAGATTAAATCAGTTGGGGGGTTTTGGCGTTTTGCTTATGTTATTCAATTGTGTATGAGCTCTGAAATGTTGAACTTTCTTTGATAACTCATTAACTCTTGATTTTATGGTTCAGTATTTAATCTAAACTTTTGTATCAGGAATCGGGATCATCAGGATGCTCTTGATTAAGCCCCAACTCTGACCTCGTGGGGTTCGACTGGACTGATATGCTCAAAATCCAGGTTTTATTGTTCTTTGTTCTTTGTTCTTTGTTCTTTGTTAAGTGTTTATTATAAAAATTAAAAAATGTTTCCTAAGAAACAACTTTTCGGAAATCTCAAGAGACAAAAAAAAGAAAAAAGATGATGAAATTGCTCAAAGTTTAAGAGGATCTTTGAATAAATATTTTGTTAAACAAACCAATGTTTCACTTGAAAATTTAGATGAAGATGATTTACCAAATGAATATGAACACTCAATTCAATTGGAAGAATTAGTAGAAAATGAGAATGATGCGAATGAAGAAATTGGTGATCTAGATGAAAATGAAAATAGTGATGAACCTTTCCTTGATGAAAATGAAAATATTGATGAACCTTGCCATGAAAATGAATGTCCCGAAACAAGATTTGATTTGAACATTTATGATCCACGAGTTTGGGATAATCTTGATGCAAAAATGAGAGATTTACTTGTAGAAAAAGGTCCCCTAAGAGAAACTAATCTCAAATTCCCCATGGACGAACACAATAGACATTTTTCTTCAAATTATTATCTTCGTACGTTACCAAATGGGGAAACTAAGGATCGAAAATGGCTAGTGTACTCAAAGGAGTTGGATAAAGTGTTTTGTTTCTGTTGTAAGTTGTTTAAAACAATGAATTCTAGAAGTCAGTTAACTAGTGAAGGAATTAGAGATTGGAAACATCTTGGTGAGAAGCTTAGACAACATGAAAGCAGTATTGAACACCTCACTAACTTGAGGTCTTGTGTTGAATTGCAAATCAGATTGAAAACAAATCAAACAATTGATACAGAATTACAAGAGCTAATCAAGAAAGATACACTACACTGGAAAAATGTTATTGCTAGAATCATTGTTGTTGTGAAATGTCTTGCTATACATAATTTGGCTTTTCGTGGAACAAATGAAAAAATTTATGAAGATGGTAATGGTAACTTTTTAGGCCTGCTTGAAATGATTGCAGAGTTTGATCCAGTAATGCAACACCATTTTCGACTCATTCAAGATAAGAAGATTCATTATCATTATCTTAGCCATAAAATTCAAAATGAGTTGATAGCTATTTTAGCATCAAATGTTAAACATGCAATCATTGAAAAAATAAAAACAGCTAAATATTTTTCTGTCATTCTTGATTGTACTCCTGATGCAAGTCACAAAGAACAAATAACTTTAATATTGAGGTGTGTAGATGTTTCAAGTACTCCAATAAATATAGAAGAGTACTTTTTAGAGTTTCTGAATGGTGAAGATACATCTGGATTAGGACTTTTTAATGAATTGCAAAATGTAATTGAGTCCCTTACACTTAATATTGATGATGTGAGGGGACAAGGTTATGATAATGGCTCTAATATGAAAGGAAAAAAATCTAGGTGTACAAAAAAGATTACTTGATATAAATCCTAGAGCATTTTACATGCCATGTGGTTCTCATTGTCTCAACTTAATAGTTTGTAATATGGCCAACTCATGTGTTAAAGCAAAATCTTTTTTTGGAGCATGTCAATGCATATATACGGTATTCTCTAATTCAACAAAGCGATGGAATGTGTTACTTGATTATATAGATGGTTTGACTTTGAAATCCTTGTCAACTACACGTTAGGAAAGTCACATTGAAAGTGTCAAAGCAATAAAATCTCAAGCTTCCCAAATTAGAGAAGCTTTATTTAAATTAACAGAAATTAGTGAAGATGCCAAATTGAGTAGGGATGCTCAAAGTTTAGCATCAAGAGAGCTTTCAAGTTTTGAATTTATATTAAGTTTGGTTATTTGGCATGATATTTTGCATAAGATTAACTTAGTTAGTAAAAAGTTACAATCTGAAGACATGCGTCTTGATGCTGCTGTAAATTTTGCATAAGATTAACTTAGTTAGTAAAAAGTTACAATCTGAAGACATGCGTCTTGATGCTGCTGTAAGACAATTAGAAGGACTTGTGTTATTTTTGCGTCTTGATGCTGCTGTAAGACAATTAGAAGGACTTGTGTTATTTTTTGAAAACTATAGAATAAATGAGTTTGTTTCTGCCATGATTGATGCTAAACAAATGGTCCCTTGATATGAGAATTGAGCCTATATTTCCAAAAAAACGTCAAGTTTGTAGAAAAAGACATTTTGATGAGGTTTTCAATAGTGATAGGGAACAACAATCAGCTGAAGAATCATTTAGAACTGATTATTTTCTTGTTATAGTGGATATTGCTCTTGGTGAATTGAAGAGTAGGTTTGAACAATTGCATTGTTTTGAATCTATTTTTGGGTTCTTATTTGATGCTGCAAAATTGACTTCGCTTGATGATAATGAATTAAAAAGTTTTTGTGTGAATCTTGAAAATGCTTTAAAACATGGTGATGTTTCTGATGTTGATGCAAGAGACTTATTTTCAGAATTACAGGTGTTGCAAGTGATGTTACCAAAAGAAGCATATGAAACAGATAAACCATGGACATCCATTAAAATTCTTGAGTTTGTAAAGAGTGTGGATATGTTTTATAATGTAATGGTTGCTTATAGGATATTATTGACTATACCTGTGACTGTGGCATCTGCTGAAAGAAGTTTTTCTAAATTAAAATTATTGAAATCTTACTTGCGGACCACCATGACTCAATATAGGCTAAATGGATTAGCGATATTATGCATTGAAAAGGATATGTTAGAGAACATTAAATATGATAGTATAATTGATGATTTTGCATCTAAAAGTGCAACAAGAAGACATTTTAAATGATGTTTTGTAGTTTAGATTTCATTGCTATTTTTTGTTTTGTAGGTACGTGTGATGATTCTTTGCTTCGATTAATTGTGGAGGATGAAAAGAAGATTGATCAAATCAAGAAATGCTTATGGAGATTTGGGAGGAAGCATGTAGACTCGAGTATGTAGTTTTCGTTTTTTTAATGCAATGTTTACAATCCGGGGTACTCTTTTTTCTTCGTTTGGGGTTTTGTCCCATTGGGTTTTCCCCAACCAAGGTTTTAATGAGGCCCCAAAGTATTTTTCCTTGTCTTTTGAAAAATCTTATAATTTTAATAAAATTAATTAATTGATAATTTATTTATTTGTTTGTTTAATTTGTATAAAGGGGCACACTTGAGAAAATTTACCCTTGGCCTTAGAAAACCCACGACCGGCTCTGCTCCTTGCGGATTGTTGGGGACTAGGGGGATTCGAACCGGGGTGTGGCGGACTCCAAAGGGAGTTTAAGTGGAGGTACTGACCAAGGTTCCCTTGTCAACAAAAAAAAAAAAAAAATCTCCCAACCACTTAAAAAAAATAGGCCATGCAAATGACTATCTTAAGCGTCCATTTATCATGAATAAAGAAAACAGAACCGATTTAACAAGGACGCACAGTTAACTTATCTACAGATAAGATAACTATCGGTCCTTAAAAAAATAAATAAGTTTACTTTCAAACAGTTCTAGGGTTTTGGATGTTCAAAAGTTATTACGTTTATTGATCAAGATCTTTTATCGCAATCTAAGGAAATCAAAGAAAAGAAAACTTATTTCCTATAATAGGTTCTTTTCTTGTGTTTGGTTCACTTTTTAAAAGTAAGAAAGAATATGAGATGAGATGAGTTGTCACTATATTATTGGATGATGCTGGTGATTTTTTAAGAAACAAATTTCATGACTTGTGTTGAGGTTGTTTGGTTGGCTAAAAAAACAAGGAAAACAATTATAAGAAATCTATTTTCTATAAAAGGTTATATTCTTATGTTTGGTTCATTTTTAAAACTAAGAAAAAAGATGACATGAGATGAGTTGCTATTATATTATTGGATGATGTGACTCATATTTAAGAAAACTCATTTCATGATTTTTTTTGAGTAAATGGATGGAAATCAACTTTTAATGAGATGAAATGAGATGAGTTATCACAATATTATTGGATGATGTGACTCATTTTTAAAAGAAATCTATTTTCTATAATAGGTTTTTTCTTGTGTTTGGTTTATTCTTAAAAGTAAGAAAGGAGATGAGATGAGATGAGATGCCACTATATTATTGGATGATGTGAATGATTTTTAAGGATAGATATGGATGTAAATCAACTTTTAATAGTTTCCGGGGTCCTATTTCCTTTTTCTTTGATTTTAGGACACCAACCAAACAGCCCCTAAAGTTCAAAACATCTGTTTGATAATAGAACATGAGGTGATACACGTGTAATGTTACATGAAATAAAACCTACTTATTAATTGCTACCTATCAATGCAAGCGAGTAATTAAAGTTATAGGATATTCAAGAATGTGAAAGTCTACTACTGTCTCAAAGCTAGGCATATCAAAGATAATACATAATTTTCTTAAATCTAAAAAGATTATATACATGATAAATATTTCCTTTTTTTACTTAAAACATAGCACGAATATTTTGTATAGAAATAGATCATAATGACTCCTTGTTGATGAGAAATATTGTTCGCATTCTTTATACCTATCACTTATGAGGGCCTAAAATGAATTTTGGCATATTATAGGGCAAATAAGCATATAAAGCATAAAGCAAGTCAAACTTTTACACAATAGTAATTGGCCTCGTACACATTCCATGCAAAAAAGACATCAAAGAAGGTAAATAATCACAATGCCAAAATTCAGACACTAGTGATCATAAACTAACTAGGTAAAATTGATTCCAAGATAAATCTTTTATACAATATTGTAATTTAAAAGAGAAACTAAAGACACTTGTCTTATTCAATTTGGATTATCTAATTAAGTCTAGATTAATTTTTAATTTATAAATAAAAAAGATTTGAGGGTTAGATGGAAAATTTATCTTTTTTAATTGGTGATTGACTGATTGTGGACTAACATGGGCGAGTATGCTATTATAGCAAAATACATTGATTAACTTTTAATTTATAAATAAAAACATTGGTGAACTTAGATGAAATTTTTTAATTGCTAACCATTTATCTAATATAATTCATATTAGGAGAGGGATGCATGCATAAAGTTTGGATACATAACCACTTAATGTAAGTCGATGTAATAGGATAGATACTTGTTTGATAATACAGATTTTAACTGATGACTATACTCTCAAATAAACCATGAATACATAGATTAGCCTTGGATAAAATTAGTGTAGAATTTTTCATTTAATAAATCGATCTCCTATAAATAGCACAAAATTCAGGATAATTATTCTAATTAACATACTAATTACGATAAAATAATAATGTAATAACCAAATGGACTAAGGATACTTTTGTCCTAAGAATGTTTTTCTCAAATTCCCACTTCTAAAGAGGGAATGATAAGTATTAAGTTAAACCTTATTAACTGTTATAAATAAAACAATTTTTATCCAAGAAATAAAGCATTTTTGAAACAGTTCTAATTATTTAATAATACCAGCGCTATTTCCGTCCATGCACTTGATTCTAATCTTACAAAGCTTTTAAAATTTGAAAAAAAGAAGTAATTATTTAGGGGGTGTACCCTTCTATTTCATTTAAAGAAAATCATAAGAAACCGACTTTCGCACACCATTGGGCGTCATTTCATTTAAAGAAAATCATAAGAAAACAATTTTCACACACCATTAGACGTTAGGAGATGAGAGAGAGAGAGAGAGAGAAGGATGGCAAGTAAAACCTCCCTAAATTTATACTAATTTCTCTTCTTACCTCTTCTCTCTAAAATCTCTCTCATCCTCTAAAGAGTGATGGGTTTTACCAAAGAAACACCTACTTGATCATAATCTGGCTATTACAGGGAAACAAGAACTGCATCGGAATAATATTTCAAAATTGATAATACATGCAAACATTTCTAGCATAACTTTTTAAGCCCAGAAAAGCAAGTGATCCAAATTTCATTTATTTGGCTTTCGTGGAGAATTTTCTCCTTTTAGATGGCTTGACTTGCCTCTGATCCTTCTTCCTCTTCTTCGCCTGCATTTGGAATGATCTACCGACCAAAGAAGGCTGATCTTTTAAACCAAAGCTTCTTGCTACATGCCCTAAGTGGAGCTTTTTAACCATAAAAATCCTCTTCAGATCGCCTTTATGAGCAGTGTATGCACGAACCCAGGAGCAGAATGCATTCTTGGCTAGTGTCTTCATCTTGGCCTGAATTTAAAGTACAAATATACAACATGATTTAACAATACCCATAACGACACAAAATGTTAGAAGACAAAAGTGTCAAAAGTGTATTTGACCAGTGAATGTAAAATTTTGCAAGGGCGTAATAGTGTGACATCAACCTTTATTACTTAGCTGACAAATTCCTACTCAACCTTGTCACAGAAACTATAGGAGCAGCTCGCAGACAAAATAAACCTGCATCTTTGTTTTACAAAAAACCAGACAACTAATGAACAGCCCTCGAAATTTAGGAAGTGGAGACCGATGAAGGCAGAGGAACTGATATGTGTTGAATCAACATTCATTCTATGGTACAAAATAGACCGAAGTACTCTTATAAATGGAATCACATCCCAAATCTAAGGTACAAAATACACCAAAGTACCAATACACCAAAGACAGATGAAGGAGAACAATAATAAGAAACCATGTTCAGTTTGGAATTGGAGACACCAGTGGAATGAGAACAACATAATCCACAAATAAGCAAATATTGCTCTATGTGTAAATAAACACTGATCAATAAGAAAGCCAGTACCTCTGCTGCAATAAAGCCTTCCAGTGCCCTCTGCAAAAATACTACCCAAGGATGCATCTCTATTGTTGCCAAGTTCTTGTGATGCCTTTGGCCATGCAGCGGAAAACTATCTAAAACCTTTTCAACAGGATACTCTTTCAAGGACACACCATGTTGCTGTAGATCATGCAAATAATCAATTTCAATAGGTTGCAGGAACAGTAAAGCTTCTCCCTTTTCACCCAACCGAGCAGTTCTTCCGACCCTACCAACATAAGATAAGACAATGTTATTCATAATAGATCTTTGTTTCACCACTCAGATTTCTTTCTTGGTATTCATCTACAAATTTAACACAAATGTCCAAATTGCAGAAGGTAAATGCTTTAAAAGAATTAGCTATCAACAAATATCCTTATATATGATTATTAAGCCGAAACAGAATATATTCACAATACCTATGCACATATTCTGAAGCCTCGCCTGGAGAATCATACTGAATGATACATGTAACTTTTGGGATATCCAAACCTCTTGCAGCAACATCTGTGCATAAGAGAAGTGCCGATTTTTCACTTTTAAATCCCTGAAATGTTGCCCTCCGATCATCATGGTCCATGTTCCCATGTAATCGAAATGTCTTACATTTGATGAATGTTTGCTTCTGATTTATATCAGTTTGAGGATTGGGAGACCATCGGAATTCACTTAAAAGAAAATAATGGAAATCCACTGCATCACACGTCGAAAGAAAAACCACAATCTGTAGAATGAACCTGTAAGCAAACCTGAATACTTGAATGAAAGAACCAAATAAGGAAACAAAAATCCCATACATGTATTGTGAAAACTGAGCAAAGATGGTTACTGATTGGGCCAAATTAGCATTCCAATGATAATCATCATAAAAATGAAAAATAATGCAGCAGGGTATATTGGATTTGGAGGGACTGTGAAAGGACATATACTATATACACAAACCCAACAGGGTTCTACATAAATGTGGCAGCTACAAGAAGCATATTGAAAGCGGTGTACAACAGATGCAAAATTTCTAGGAAGAGAAGATTTCCAAAGAAAATACCAAACCAGAGATAAAGAGCTTAGAGCCCACTGGAGTTTCACTTACTATGAAACTTTAAAGTCAACTTGAGAAGGGTGTGAACTGTATCCTCATCCAAAATGGCTTATAGACAGGCAGATTTCACATTCTTCGGCATTGGGAATCATCAGAATTATACTAAACGGCTGATACTTTGATATTATTATCACAACTATTTTAAATGTGCTGCACTACATTAAACAATCCAATCAAGCCAACCACCCAGCTTGTGGTTATACAATAATGTGGTGTTTGTGTTAGCAAAATTTTGAAGGAGAAGAATTACAGAAAAATCATACTCCCTTTAAAAGTATGAGTTCGAGAAAATCTTTCTATGGTCAATATTACCCTTAGTTTTTTTAAAATATTACATTGTTATCCTAATCTATTCTAATTACCCTATCTTTTTTGAATTGGTAACCAAATGATTTATTTTATTCATAATGAGACTCAACATGTTATTGGATAAATTAGATACTTTTAATATAATTCAAATCCTTTACTTATTTCAGTTTGTAGAGAAATCTAAAAAAATATGCTAGCCAGCACCTACAAGTTTTTAGACTTTGTAAAAAAATATTCTCCAAGTATTTTAAATTGCAAAAACGGCCCTACAAATTCAAAATTTTATTAAAGCATCTTGAAAATTATAAATTTTACTTATCTCAATTTAGTGAGAAACCTGAAAAATATATACTAACTAGAAGCTGAGAGTTTTTTAACTTTGAAGAAAATAACTTGTATAATTTAAAAATTACAAAAACACCCCTAAAAATTTAAAATCTATAAAAAATACCTTAAAATTTTCAAACTTATAAACATACTAAAAACCTACAAATATCATACTCCCTTTAAAAGTACGAGTTCGGGAAAATCTTTCTATGATCAATATTACCCTTAGTTTTTTTTTAAATATTATATTGTTATCCTAATCTATTCTAATTATCCTATCTTTTTTGAATTGATAACCAAATGATTTATTTTATTCATAATGAAACTTAACATGTTATTGGATAAAATAGATATGTTTAATATAATTCAAATCCTTTAATTATTTCAGTTCGTAGAGAAATCTAAAAAAATATGCTAGCCAACACCTACAAGTTTTTAGACTTTGTAAAAAATATTCTCCAAGTATTTTAAATTGCAAAAACGACCCTACAAATTCAAAATTTTATTAAAGCATCTTGAAAATTATAAATTTTACTTATCTCAATTTAGTGAGAAACCTGAAAATATATATACTAACTAGAAATTGAGAGTTTTTTAACTTTAGAGAAAATATCTTATAAGTTTTAAAAATTACAAAAACATCCCTAAAATTCAAAATCTATAAAAAATACCTTAAAATTTTCAAACCTATAAACATACTAAAAACCTACAAATAACACGAACAAGCCCCAAAAATTTATAAAATTTGCAATACTTACTCTGAACTTTATACAAATTACAAAATAAAACCTACAAATTTGTAAAATTAAAAAGATATCCTGATAGTTTCTGACCTAACAGTACATTAAAAATATAAGAATTATAAATATCCCCTACATAATTTATAATTTATAGAAAACACCCTTAAAGTTTTAAAAATTACAAACAAATGTTTAAAATTCAAAATTTACAAAAAATACCCTAAAATTTCAAATTCATTTGTAAATTGAAAGCATAGAAATTATAAATAGTCTATTAATAATTTACAATCTATAGAAAATGCTTATAAGTTTAAAAAATTATAAAAAGTCCTTAAAATTCATAATTTACAAAAAAACACTATGAGAATTTCTAACCTATAGACACTAAAATAAATATACAAAATTACTAACAACCCCTAAAAAATTAAAAATTTGCAAAAAAATACCATACACCTTTTAAAAGTATAGATTTAGGAAAAAAATTTCATGGTAAATATTACCCATAACTTTTTTGAAAAGAACATAAATAATTAAAAATCTATTAAATTTAAAATTTATAAAAAACACCCTTAAAGTATAGTGCATTGTAAATTATCCCTCCAAAGTTTGAAAATTTTCAATAATTTTTTTGTAATTCCTTGATTTCAATGTAATATTTAATAGTTGTGTATTTATAAATTACAAATTTTAGGATATTTTTTTACACTTTTTAAAACTTTTGTAAGTGTTTATTTTGTAGTTTTCTAAATTTTCATTGTGTTTTCAGCGTAATGCACATATACATTAATTAATGATGATATTGAAGAATAAGTCGTTCTTAAAATTATTAGACCATAGTTAAGTGTGCACATCACTATTCCTATGCAGTATAGTTTATATATGAAATTTTTTTGAGATAATCTATATAGTGGTTAAAAAGATTATGACTTTAATGTACTATTTTTTACAAATTGTATTTAATGTGAACCCACCATATAATTTTGATTGTGGTCTGACTTTAATGTACTATTTTTTACAAATTGTATTTAATGTGAACCCACCATATAATTTTGATTGTGGTCATCATAATTTTAATATGTTTGATTGATTGACTATATACATATATAGAACATAGATTATTTTACTTTCTCACATGAGCTAATATTTGGTGCTTAATAATTTACATTATTATTTTTAAATTTAATATAAAGAGGAGCTCTAATAATATTTATTTATTTACCTACAACATCATACAATCTCAATTCCTATTTTTTACTGGAGATTTATTCCATAGTTACGCGTATCAAATTAGTAACTAAAATAATAATTATTTATGTTTAAATTAGGATGATTGTAGTTGGTCACTCACTATAAAATTTTTATGAAGATATATACCTTACTTTTTATAGCTATCTGCACTGCACATGTATGCTTTATAAATTAGTTCTTAATTTGATATATTAAATTATTTTTCCTTTGTAAAACTTTTTTCTTGACTTTCAGACTGTGTAATCACTATATCACCATTCTAGCATAGAAAGGACCTCACTCTAAATAGACTTCAAGTCAATATTTGAGTTGCACTGAAGTATATACTATTGCTACTATGTGTATATATTTTAAAAAAATCATGTCAATACTTTTAAAATAGAAGAGAATATTCTAACCTCTGATATTATAAAAACTAAATATAGCAAATTGAATGATTAGCAAAAGAGAAGTTATATCAGAAAAGTATGAATAATAAGATAAAGAGGAAAGGTAATGACATTGCTAATAGTACTACAAATAACAAACGACAATGTAAAATTAACCTATTTTATGGAGCCCAATTACTGGCTATAAGCATCGAGGTTTCCATATATATACTTTATAATTTCTTAAAAAGGATCATATAATCTTATATAATAAAATTGATTTAATAATGAATAGTAATATCGTTGTAATAATATCATGAATTGATATGTTATTTACGATATATAAGCTATGCACTCCAAATTCTTGTGTCTTTTATAGAACCAAAAAGTTTGAATAGGAACCTCTAACGTGTTACTCTCACAAACAGCAAAATCTACTTAGGAGATATGAATATTCTAGATGAGTTATGTATCCTATATATAATACAATTGCCCTAGACAAGTGAGTTATAATAACATTTTTTTATTCACATCATTTAGGGTAAGATTTGATAAGGACCTTGCATCAAAGATTTTTTTATATTTATTATTTAGAGCATATGGCGAAATATATCATAATCTCCTTGTTCTAATTTCGTAAGAAAATAATTCTTCACACTTTCAGTTTACTTCTATGATATAACGAATGAGCTATAAAATTGAATGAGAATGTTATTTTAGACAATATAAATGAGTGAAACATCAACTAAAAGTTAACGTGAATATGAGTCAAACCACGACTAAAAGTTTAATGGACATATTGCAAGCAAATTCATATGTAAAATTTCTTTGCGAATTGAATGATCACCCATCTTTTAAAGACTTCAAGATGCTAATAAATAGAGACGTTGTACTATATTAATGCGTTTATAACTCACAAGTAGTAGATCACGTGGCCACAGTCTGGGTTGAAAGGAAACAATGATAATATTTTATTTGAGAGAGAGCTTATTGAGTTGATCAATATAAAAAAAACTTTGTTTTTTTATTTTTACTCTATTTTTATTAATTTAAATAATCATGATATTCAACCACGTGCATTGCACGTGCATCTCAACTAGTAAAGATAAATGAGCATGTAACAAATAAAAGGTTAACCTCACCTTCTGAGAAACTTCCTTTTCAAATAAAGTCTTAAGAATAGAGAAAAGCACAACTAGCCGAGAACCACAGGGAACTGCATATAAGATCACGAGACAAATTGAGAGTTGCAAACCGATCAGTACGAATACGCAACATAGAACAATGACCAAGTGAGAAATAAAAAATGAGAGTAAACTGCTACCTTTAGCATATTTTTGGATTAACCGTGTTGGAAGGTTATAATTATCAGTTGAATGGCTTGCTAATACTTGAATACTTTCTGATTCTTCATCCCCGTCAGATTCTGTAGTTGAGAATTTTCTAATTGATGGGATTGGTAGGTCGGACGAGACCTTCTTTTCATCTAAACCAATCATAACAGGTTTGATTAAACTGATATTAGCTAGGTGATTCACCTTTTCATTCAAAGTTGCTGACAGAAGTAAATTTTGCCTTGAAATATTGCCGGGTTTCTTTCCTATATCCTCTTTGTTAGTAGAGTCAGTTTTCTTGGAACCCAAAAACTCCAGTATTTCCTCTAATTCTTTCCCAAAACCAAGCTCAAGGATCCTGTTATAACATAAAAAGAGAACAAGAAAATACAACCAGATTAAGTAAATAACTATGAAGAAGAATACATCCCATGTGATACAAAGGATGCGGTGTTACCATGTATGCACAAGACAATTGACATGATGGTAATTTCAAAACAAAATTAATGTTGATAAATCAAAAGGGAACATGCTGAGAGTTGAGACAAGCCAAACCTGTCAGCTTCATCAAAGACCATCCACCGTAAATTAGTATATACAAAAGAAGAAGTATTCTTTAAGTGATCCAACAACCTCCCAGGGGTTGCAACAAGGATAGATATTCCTGAAAGCATTGTATCAGATGCACGTTCAGTGAAACTAGGAGTGAGCCTAATAAATGGATAACAGCAATTAATAAAAAAGAGCAAAGTAGAAGTATCAATGTTTTGCTATTATCATTGCATATGATAAAGCTAATAAGTAATGAAACATCAACTGGAATGAGATGAAAGCAAACTTGATAATATAGTTGAACAAATTAAAACATTCAGTAACACAATTGCTCAAAACCATACAGGCACTCCATTCATTAAGGACTAGGTAAGCAGGATGAACTTTTTAGTCCTATATGGGTAGTTTCTGTCTAACTTCTTATCAACTCAAGAAAGTATTTGGGAATCCAAGGACTGTTAATAAGGCGTATGAAATATCGATAAGCGTGTCGTTTTGGAGTATCCACTACCACAAATGCTCAATTGCATATACATGCTAATTGATAAAGACAAAAAGTGAGAAAATTTTCTCAAGCGTAAAACTCAACCTGAAAAAATGACTTAGATGGTGATGATACCTAACATGAAGGTTCAAGAAAAGTTCATGTATTAGGATTGATCGCATTGTATATCAATTAAACACCACCCCAGAAAAGAAGTTTGTACCAACTATGTTCTAGTTATCTGCATAGACAAGAAAACTAGCAAACTCCAACCTTTTCGCAGCCTAGCCTTTTCCTTTCCTCTGTTTTCTCCACCCATGATATAACCAGGAACTATCCAATGAAAACGGTGTAGTAACTTCTGCAGAATCTCATAAACCTGCATGCACAATTCTCGCGTCGGCACAAGAACCAACGCTGATACATATTGTCAGTCAAATGTTAATCCCAAATGTTCTTTTTTTCCCACTTTTAATGAGAAGACCAAATGTATCAGTACTATGATGAACTAATAAAAGCGCAAACTACTATGTGAGCATACCAAAAGTCCCATCGGATCGTTGAATCCGCTGATCATAAGCCTGAAGTAAATGCACAATTGGTGCGAGATACACAATAGTCTTTCCGGTCCCAGTAGCGGCATTAACAAGTCTAATCTCCATTTAAGGTGGGGAAACTTTTTAAAAAGAGAAATTTCAAATTTCCAATGAAATATATAGAGAATGAAAAAGGATACACATCTTTCCCCTCGATTACAACTGGAATTGCCTGAGCCTGGATCTGAGTTGGAACTTGAAATCCCATTTTTTCTACCAAAAACAAAAAAACAAAAAACAAAATTTAAGCAATAAAGACAAGAATCAAACAAAAACTCACTGAAGTAATTATACCTTGAAGATGTTGGCAAAGATTCGGGTGAAGTCCGAGGTCGTTGAAGGAGCACGAAGCGAAAATTTCGGCTTGAGTGGCGTTGGAGATCTTTGACTTGGTCTTGTTCTTCTCCTCCATGGAGTTGCTCTTCTGATGCTCTCTCATCGACTAGGGTTTCTACTTCTTCGAGCTCGGGATTTTAGGGTTTTAGGCGCTCTGAACCCTAGACGGCTCGCCGATATTTCGACCGAGAATGTAAAGGGGAGAGTATTTGTAGTTAGCACCTTATAAATATTACTTTTACACTATTACTTATATAATTTAAGATGCAAAATTTTCAGTGCAACTAGGTTTTATCTTTTGGTATGGTTTTTTTTTGGGGGGGAGCTGTCAAAGTGTTAGAACTTTGACAGCTTTCTCCCAAAATCGTCTATTTACCTTCCCCCTTAAAAAAAAAAAAAAAAAAACAGAACCAAACATGCCCAAGAAAGCGCCTAGACGAAAGCCCAAGTATTTGGGAAAAAAAGTAATAAATCAAAAAGGTGAATAAAGAACGCAAAGTAAGTTCATACTAATAAAGAAAACTATAATGTGACGGTATTATTCTTTGTAACATGTACGTAGTGATTTGAACAGATATCAGTGTTTGGAGAAGTAAGACGATGTCTATCTACTCCTCTATACAATTGGGAGAACCCAATATTCACCATTCATACTACAGTAAACGCTACAGTGTCATTTGTTGTAGTAGTATTACTGTAGCAACCATGAAACTGGATATTTTAGTTTTTTTTAAGAAATTATTGTAGCGCATGGAAACTATAATAGAAGTGGGATACGGTAGTAATTCAAAAAATTCAGAAAAAATTATAACAGTTAAAAACCGGAGTTAAAAACCAAGATTACTGTAACGAAAAAATTATGCCATATTTTGCACGGTGTTCACACTAGTTTATGTTATTTTCATAGTCAGTCTTTCTGTTCGGAGCGAAGTGAAATGATAGACAGATTCAAAAAATAAATAAACAAATGCTGCTTAAACAAAAGTAATCTTGGTTTTAATCCAAAAAAAAAATAAAAAACGCAGCCTTGTGGGATTTAACTGTCAAAAAGTACTCTGATATATACAAGATTGCTACACCATTTTTTTTTTGCTTTCGTTCTCATGAAGTTATTTGTTTGGTCCTGCTTCAAAAGTTCATGTTCAGTGCGGAGAAAAAGTGGGTGCTAACATTTCTAAAAATATAATATAAAAAAAGTGAAGCTTCACCACATTTAATTGAAATTTACCCAACAAAATTATCACTTCCCTACATACGAAAGAACCTCGATCAAGTAAGCAAAGAAGTAGAAGCTTCAGAACCCAGAAAATGACAACTCTAATCCAACGACACTCGAACCTGTATATTCCACAATCATCAATTAAGAATACAAACTTGACTGAAAAATAAACAAAACAGAAAGAGGAACCAAAAACAAGACTTGGGAGGTTACAATTCTCAAACAAAAAGGCTAGGAGGTTACAAGGTACAATTATAATTGATACATAGAGAGAATCCCCTCGCGTAAAAATAACTCCTTTTTATCTAGAAGGTTTTGGTGGTCGAAGTACATTCCAGTCCAACTTGTCACGCTTCTGCTTCTTACCTCTCGAGTTATTTTGTGAAGATGATGATTGCTCGTTTTCATTCCCAGCTGCAGTTTTTTGCAGTTTAATGGAAGATGGTGTTTCCATCTCCATCACGGGTTGCTTTCTTTTTTGATCGGAGTTACTGCTAGGACTAGCTGCGTTAGAGTTTGTATCCTCTCTGTATCATATACACAAGACAAGAGTTAATGAAGAATATCAGGACATTTTGGCCATGAACACAGTATAAGAAGTTTTCAGCCAATGCCTATAAATTACGCCGTTGCTTTAGCACAATGTATGAAAAGAGGTAGCTTATAAACTTATGATGCACATTAAACCGAAGCACGAACATAAGAAAAATTTGCAAGCTAACTTCATGGTGGTCAAATCATATCCATGAGAGCATCTGGTTCGGATTCAATCATGTAGTAGGTGTCAAGTAAAACAGAAAATTCTGGATAAGTATAATTTTACATGAATCGGTCACATTGCTCTGTATACATGTGTATGTATCTCCATATATGTGTGTAAGAAATAATGTGTATGAGATGGCGGCTCATTTTGTTAGATGAGTTACCAAGAGATGGACAAGTTGCGAAGCCTACTCTACTAGTACTAGTCACGTTGCATACCATCACCATCAAACTCATACACACAGTAGATCATTGTGTATGCTCTTAGTGGTACTGCTTCGAAAAAGTATATATTTCCAAGTTATGACGAGAATCAGAAATAAGAGCTGCATAAATTTTGGGTAAAGCAATAGCCGGTGCAAGGTACTCTTTCTGTATTACAAGCCTCAAAAGTATGTTATGCAGTATTTGGAAACAAAAGATTGGCCTGTCCAAATTTTAGTATTCGGAAGCTCCGATGCCAATTTCTTTTAACTGTGTACCAGGCCTTATTTAGCTTTCTAAATGACGCCTAATATAACATTCATCTGTTTCAAAATTTAGTATTAATAATTTCACCAAAGCTAATGCACACTTTATGAACAGCTCAGCTTCCTAGAGATTATAAAAACAAATTGAAAGGCTTTATATTGATCATAGGTCAACAGTTTTAGGGACTGGAATTGTTGAATGCATGACAATGGGAAGGATAGGCACCGTCTACAAACTAATCGTGTTAGAAATTTTTGTTCACACATAAGGCTCTTTTACTATGGCTTGGAGTTAGAAGCAATTGTTGCAAGAACTTAGACTACAAGAGCAAAACCTTCCTCTCTGCCAATTAACCATTTAAAATTATAATAGCATTATCCATTGTGTATGGTCTTAGTGGTACTGCTTCGAAAAAGTATATATTTCCAAGTTATGACGAGAATCAGACATAAGGGCTGCATAAATTTTGGGTAAAGCAATAGCCACTGCAAGGTACTGTTTCTGTATTACAGGCCTCAAAAATATGTTATGCAGTATTTGGAAACAAAAGATTGGCCTGTCCAAATTTTAGTATTCGGAAGAAGCTCCGATGCCAATTTCTTTTAACTGTGTACCAGGCCTTATTTAGCTTTCTAAATGACACCTAATATAACATTCATCTGTTTCGAAATTTAGTATTAATAATTTCCCCAAAGCTAATGCACACTTTATGAACAGCTCAGCTTCCTAGGGATTATAAAAACAAATTGAAAGGCTTTATATTGATCATAGGTCAATAGTTTTAGGGACTGGAATTGCTGAATGCACGACAATGGAAAGGATAGGCACCGTCTACAAACTAATCGTGTTAGAAATTTTTGTTCACACATAAGGCTCTTTTACAATGGCTTGGAGTTAGAAGCAATTGTTGCAAGAACTTAGACTACAAGAGCAAAGATTAACCTTCCTCTCTGCCAATTAACCATTTAAAATTATGATAGCATTATCCATTGTGTATGCTCTTAGTGGTATTGCTTCGAAAAAGTATTTATTTCCAAGTTATGACGAGAATCAGACATAAGGGCTGCATAAATTTTGGGTAAAGCAATAGCCACTGCAAGGTACTGTTTATGTATTACAGGCCTCAAAAATATGTTATGCAGTATTTGGAAACAAAAGATTGGCCTGTCCAAATTTTAGTATTCGGAAGAAGCTCCGATGCCAATTTCTTTAACTGTGTACCAGGCCTAATTTAGCTTTCTAAATGACACCTAATATAACATTCATCTGTTTCGAAATTTAGTATTAATAATTTCACCAAAGCTAATGCACACTTTATGAACAGCTCAGCTTCCTAGAGATTATAAAAACAATTTGAAAGGCTTTATATTGATCATAGGTCAACAGTTTTAGGGACTGGAATTGTTGAATACACGACAATGGAAAGGATAGGCACCGTCTACAAACTAATCGTGTTAGAAATTTTTGTTCACACATAAGGCTCTTTTACTATGGCTTGGAGTTAGAAGCAATTGTTGCAAGAACTTAGACTACAAGAGCAAAACCTTCCACCCTGCCAATTAACCATTTAAAATTATGATAGCATTATCCAGTGCTTCAAGCTCAAAACATCCATGATATTATCCAAGAGTTCTCTTCTGATAAGCAAGGTCCTGGGCCACAGTCTACTCATAGTCAACATCATACATTATGCACAAAGTGAATCATGTGTTAATATTGTTTATTCTCTCTTCTTTGTCTCATTTCCAACTATAGGTCTCGCTTAAAAAACGAGGTCTTGCTAAGCCTTAATTATTCTAGACTCTTTTGCATTCACATTGCACTACAAGGAATATTCAAAACCTTGGAAGCCCAGTGAATGGTTGTGCTCCAAGTAACAAGCACAGAAAGAAAACTGGATGGTAGGTTCATACATTTCTACCAACTAAATGGTAGGCTCAGTGAACGTTGCAAAGACAAATATGCATAAGATCTGAAGTTATAGAACAAAGAAACTTAAGAAAAATAATATATATGTTCAAACAAGCAACCAACCTGTCGGAACTACCATTCTGATGACTGATGTTCGATTGTTGCGTTTGATGGACAACTGAAGCTTCATCATGCAATTTCTACAGAGAAAAACACACATCAAACGAAGGCAGATATGCAAGAAACCTAAATCACTGACATCCAACAATCTTGACAAACTCACATCGATAGAAGGATTGAAACTCTGAAATGACATTCGACCTTTTAATGCACCCGGATGAGGATTCCCTTCCATTATCACTATGCTGTGAAAAAGAAATACACGTTTCTTAAATTTTGTGCGGGCAAATACACGAGATACAAGGTCTTAAAGATTGAGTATCATATTCAAGCATGATTCACGAACAAATTCTTCATATTAAAACTCCCAAATAACTTGTTTAAAATGTGACAGCAAGTCCATGAGTCCATGGGTACAATAAAGTTAGCCAAAAGGCTAAGAAACAATTTGGAGGTCCACAATGGCCTAGAGGACTCAATAACCAGAAGAACATAACATAATAGGATAACTTTAATCCATTTAATCATCCACTTCGCAGAATCCAGATAGAGGAAGGTGCAAAGAGTTGGAAAACACAATTAACAAATGAAGAAGGTTAAAAAAATTTCCAATATAAGATAGTTGACTAGACACAAGGTCAAGGATGATATAACTTAATATATAGACAGGCATCACGTCATACAAGGGGAAGTAGATGGTTAACTTCAGAACTGAACAAATCAAGAAATAATAGAAAAATAGATTTTCATGTAACCATCCATATAAGGAAAACTAGCTCCTTTTCCTTCAATAAATGGAAAAGGCAACTGCTGAAATCTAAATTTACAGTAGACATTAAATCTCATTCTGCCGAATATATAATCAGAAATGAAGAATCAGGCTAAGTGTAAATGTTAAGATGCAATTTCCCGAGCAGCAAGGTTTGCATGCAATGATAGTTAAAAATTCACCATTCATACATTTAATCAAACAGCCACGAAATATCTAACGATTTCAATTATTAATCACTTACAATACAAGTGTAATTAATGAACAAACTAGAAAGTAACATTCAACGCCTGAATTAAGTTAATGCGCAAGTGGAACACATTTTAGACCATTCTTATGTTCAAACGAAAACATACACTTACCTTATCTGTGTTAACTTACCGAAACTTGCACACATGCATTAAAGTTCTGAATTCAATCAGTTCCTAATAACTATTCAGTGTCATTCCAGTGCATCCAAGAAAAAGACACATAAATTTTACATCAACAAGGTCTAGCAGATCATGCCAGGGCATTTTACTTCAGCTGTAATCTAGGGTGTGTTTTCAACAAGATTGATCCAACAAAAAGTAAAAACCCAATCTATAGTAGTTATCAAAACCGTTAGCTTTCAAACGGAACGAAATTTTCTACTTGGTGTTTTTTAAAAAATCTCTAAACCCGCAAAAAAAAACCCTAAAGAGGAAAGAAAAGGTACCATCTTTTCGCAGGGACAGGAGAAGCGCCAAAAGACTCCTCAGGCTTGGGCTTTTCTGCTTGTTCTTCATCCTTGACCTTGGGTTCTTCTCTCTGAGATGCCCTTTGCATGAACTGAACGAAACTGACAAGAAAACCTCAGATTTTTCAAATTCACGGGGTTAAAAGAAAGAGAGGAGACCATGGATTGATTTCGAGTCTCGCCTTTAAGTTCCTCAGCGTCGTCGACATCTCTCGCTTCGCCATTGCTCGACTTTAATTTTAATTTCGATTTCGATTTCGATTTCTAGGGTTTTGGAAAAGGGGCGAAAATTTTGAAGAATTCGCACGGCTCTCTATAGCGAGAGCCCGCGAGTGAAAGAGGACGGACTTGGGGCGAGACTTAGGTTTTCGAACTTCAAGTCAATTAGTGGGCCTGGAAATGGGCCGCCTAACTTTAGGTCAATACTAGGATAGATGTAAAGGCCATTTGAAAATTTTTGGGCCGAAAATGTATGAATGGGGTTATCTGGGCATGTCTTGCCGGAAAATGGAGATTATAAAATCTGATAAATTATTTTGGAAGAATTTCATTTATGTCATTAGAAAAATTATGAGTAATTTTTTTTTGTACAAAACTATTCAATCAATTAGTAAAGACTAAAATATTTTGCGCTTAGAGAGAAGAAGTTCTTATCTTATAATTAATCTCATGAATTTTGTATCCAAAGAAAACCTTGGAAAATATAAGATGATTGAGGTTCACTGTGGAGAAACAATGATGAATGTTTGATTAATAAATTTGCAACGATCCCTGCATTATGATTTTAATCCTTAGCTTCTACATACCTTTCATTTAATTTTTGGAGAAAACTTATGTTTATTTTGATTGTTATATAATTGTATAAAGTAGTCATTAATATTTAGCATGCTTCTAAGTCAATCATATTATAGCCTTAGATAAGATTGGATACTTGAACATGAACTGCACTCTAGAAGAAATACTTTTTACATGCTTTTCGATCCGAAGAGTCTAAATTTGCTTTAAATTCAGTCATTTGGGCTTGAAGTCACAAAAGTGAAATTTCTAGATCTACTACTCAACTGAGGCCAAACTTTAACGCCATCTAAATCTCACTCCTATTAAGATCATTATCTGAAGTTGAACACAACTCTTCTTTTGTATTCAGTGTGATGATACTTTTTTGTTTTATGTGGATACTTTCAAGATGGCAACTAAAATAACAGAATAACATGTATACTATTTTTATACTACTAGACAGAAAAAAGTGGGGTCAATAGAAACTCATGACTTCTATCTCTTTGTAATTTATAAGAAAATATCGTACTCCTTGCGCGTAGTAGTATAACTCTTATATACAGTTATCACCACTCTAGCTCGGTGTAGCCGGAGCATACAACTTTGAGGTAGATTTTGTCACAAATGATCTTCACTCAGTGTGCTTTACAGCTCAAAACCATATGTGTTGGTGCTCTGCTGTTCTCCATTGAAGTGATGCCTTTGTGCTGTTTTCTCCCCCTTCTTTTTTAAAATTTTTTTTCTATTTTGTTTTTATTTTTTTATTCGCTAGAATCTTGTCCCATCTCTGTCATAATGGCGAATTGACCGTGCTTTTGATTCTTCAAGGACGTGGTTTTCTCGTTTTTTTTTTTTTGTTCCGAGGCTTTTGTTCGAATGCAAAATAAATTGCAAGATCAATGAAGGTAAGTTATTAATTATGCATTACATAAGTTCTCATCATTGTGGCGTTTATACATTTTGCGCTGAGATGTTAGAAATGATGGTGGTTTTTGTGCCTTCAGACACCGGTAGAAAATGAGTTATCCCAGACAGAATATCCTAGACGGAATTTTTTTTTTCGTGGATCGTGTTTTCTATGTTTTCCAATTTTGTTCCAGGTGCATTGAATGGTGTTGGATGCTTTCATTTTATCCTAGTGAGCTCTAGAGTTACTAGTACATGACTATTGACGATCAAAAGTGATTTAGAAAATGGTTACTGTTGGTTAGTTTTTGGATTCGGATGTTTCGATGGTTTCAATCTGTGTCTCGTAGACGTGTTGATATTTTAGGCCTTGCTGCATATGCCATGTTTTAAAGTGTTTCTACATGTCCTGGTGGCTCTTGGGTTTGCCCCAAAAACAAGTTGTGGCAAATGCTTTTGCTGGAATCAACTTTGCGAAGAGGTGGTTCATTTTGCATTTCTGGTATGATTTTGAGGTCAATACTAGAAAAACATAATCATATGTACGTATGCTTGTGGATCTGTTGTGTGCTGAAGTACTTTTGGGAATTTACTTTTTTTTAATATTCTCATGCTTTAACATTATATAACACAAATTTGCACAACTGTATTTGTGAATCCTGCTTATATAACGCAAATTTGGCCTCATGTTTAGTTATTACTCATGTTTAGTTATTACTAAGCATACTTCTAAATTTAGGAATATATCATATTCTTAAAAATAAGGGAAAAATGTGTCCAGGCCCCAAAAGCAAAAACTTCATGTGACAAAGCCCCTCATATTTTTCCTCATGTGGATCAGCCCCTTGAAGTGTGACATTTTGTACTGCAGCCCCTTTTATTAATTATCACATGCCAGCTAAAGTAAAATTCCCAAACTATCCTTATCCTCTCTCCTCTCTGACCCAGCACTCACATCATCTCTCTCTCATCTCTCCTCTCTCTCTCTCTATCTCTCTCTCATCTCCTCTCTCTCTTTCTCTCTCTCTCTCTCTCTCTCTCTCTCTCTCTCTCTCTCTCTCACCTCTCTCTAAAACTAAGAGCTTTATTAAGCTCGTCGTCCTGGCCGAGACGCACAGAGCATTAATCTATTAGCTAGAAGAAGAAAAGAAAAAAGAAAGGTAAGGAGAAGTAGAGTAGAAGGGGAATGAAGAGAAATATCGTAATTAAGAAATAACGAAAATGTGTATTAATGTATCTCTATGAATGAAATTGCCACGGTGCCGCCGAGCGATATTCGAAACAATATAACGAGAGGTAGAAAATGAGCCCAAATGAAAGAAAGATACCGTGTGATAGACAATATAAAGGGCTACACACCGGCGCAGACGGTAGTGAAAACGGAGATCGGAGGTGGCCGTAAAACACGCGCGAAGTCGGCACAGCGTTGCTGTTTTCTGCTCGCTGCTGCCGCCGAGCGATGTTTCGGATGTTACTGAGAGATATAGAGAATGAGTTAGAGCGTGATACAAATTGGAGGTGATAGGCAACATGTAGGGCTACTCACCAAAGAAGAAATCGGTGAAAACGGAGATTGGAGATGATCAGAAAGTGCGTGCGAAGTCGGCACAAAACTATAGTTCTAGCCCACATCCCACCAGTTCTAACTTGTATCCCACCAGTTCTAACTTGTATCCCACCAGTTCTAACTTGTATCCCACCAGTTCTAACTTGTATCCCACCAGTTCTAACTTGTATCCCACCAGTTCTAGCCCACATCTTGCTAGTTCTAATCAAAACCCTTGTTTTTTTCTTGCTAAGTTGTTAATTATAGGTTCCACGTTAGTTCTATCCCACATCCCACCAGTTCTAACTTGTATCCCACCAGTTCTAGCCCACATCTTGCTAGTTCTAATCAAAGCCCTTGTTTTTTTCATGCTAAGTTATTAATTCTGGGTTCCACGTTAGTTCTATCCCATATCCCACCAGTTCTAACTTGTATCCCACCAGTTCTAGCCCACATCTTGCTAGTTCTAATCAAAGCCCTTGTTTTTTTCATGCTAAGTTGTTAATTCTGGGTTCCACGTTAGTTCTAGCCCACATCCCACCAGTTCTAACTTGTATCCCACCAGTTCTAGCTCACATCTTGCTAGTTCTAATCAAATACCTTGTTTTTTTTCATGTTAAGTTGTTAATTCTGGGTTCCACGTTAGTTCTAGCCCACATCCCACCAGTTCTAACTTGTATCCCACCAGTTCTAGCTCACATCTTGCTAGTTCTAATCAAATACCTTGTTTTTTTTCATGTTAAGTTGTTAATTCTGGGTTCCACGTTAGTTCTAGCCCACATCCCACCAGTTCTAACTTGTATCCCACCAGTTCTAGCTCACATCTTGCTAGTTCTAATCAAATACCTTGTTTTTTTTCATGTTAAGTTGTTAATTCTGGGTTCCACGTTAGTTCTAGCCCACATCCCACCAGTTCTAACTTGTATCCCACCAGTTCTAACTTGTATCCCATCAGTTCTAGCCCACATCTTGCTAGTTCTAATCACAGCCCTTGTTTTTTTCATGCTAAGTTGTTAATTCTGGGTTCCATGTTAGTTCTAGCCCACATCCCACCAGATGCTAAGTTGTTAATTCTGGGTTCCATGTTAGTTCTAGCCCACATCCCACCAGTTCTAACTTGTATCCTACCAGTTATAGCCCACATCTTGCTAGTTCTAATCAAAGCCCTCGTTTTTTTTCATGCTAAGTTGTTAATTATAGGTTCTACGTTAGTTCTAGCCCACATCCCACCAGTTCTAACTTGTATCCAACCAGTTCTAGCCCACATCTTGCTAGTGGGATACAAGTTAGAACTGGTGGGATGTGGGCTAGAACTAACGTGGAACCCAGAATTAACAACTTAACATGAAAAAAACAAGGGCTTTGATTAGAACTAGCAAGATGTGGGCTAGAACTGGTGGGATACAAGTTAGAACTGGTGGGATGTGGCCCACATCCCACCAGTTCTAACTTGTATCCAACCAGTTCTAGCCCACATCTTGCTAGTTCTAATCAAAACCCCTGTTTTTTCATGCTAAGTTGTTAATTCTTGGTTCCACGTTAGTTCTAGCCCACATCCCACCAGTTCTAACTTGTATCCCACCAGTTCTAGCCCACAACGTTAGTTCTAGCACACATCCCACCAGTTCTAACTTGTATCCCACCAGTTCTAGCCCACATCTTGCTAATTCTAATCAAAGCCCATGTTTTTTTCATGCTAAGTTGTTAATTATAGGTTCCACGTTAATTCTAGCACACATCCCACCAGTTCTAACTTGTATCCCACCAGTTCTAGCCCACATCTTGCTAGTTCTAATCAAAGCCTTCTAGCCCACATCTTGCTAGTTCTAATCAAAGCCCTTGTTTTTTTCATGCTAAGTTGTTAATTCTGGTGTGATAGAACTGGTGGGATACAAGTTAGAACTGGTGGGATGTGGGCTAGAACTAACGTGGAACCCAGAATTAACAAGGGCTTTGATTAGAACTAACAAGATGTGGGCTAGAACTGGTGGGATACAAGTTAGAGCTGGTGAGATGTGGGCTATAACTAACGTGGAACCTAGAATTAACAACTTAGCATAAAAAAAACAAGGGCTTTGATTAGAACTAGCAAGATGTGGGCTAGAACTG